CTTCTCCGCACGTCACGCAAGCACTGTTTTCGTCGACAGTATTCTGCCAGCAAGCACAAAACTAAACCCCTCTCGGATGGCAAGTTTTCAAGGGCATCAACCCTAAACACCACGCGACAAGGCGTTTGGGGTTGTTCCCGCCAAGTGGGCTATAATTTTGGGGCATCAACCCTAAACACCTAGTCGCAAGGTGTTTAGGGTTGATGCCCCAAATTTAACATGCAAGCCAAGAGGGATTTAGTTTTGGCATCAACCCTAAACACTTAGTCGCAAGGTGTTTAGGGTTGATGCTCTTCATTACCATGCCAGCGGAGAGGGATTTAGTCCAGTGCGAAAAAAAAGAACAAAATAGTGCTGTGCACCGTTTGCCTGAGTAGCAATAGAAATGTATTCCGAGATGATGACACGTGGGTTAATGTGGAGAGGAGTTCTATGTTAGCGCGATAAGCCTTCTGTCTCGGCAGCGAAACCTGGGAAACTGTGTGCAGGTAGAGACGAAGGTCCCTAGAAAGCGCAGGCTCGGAAGTACCTCTTCTGCCGTAACTAAAAACCCCTGTTCTTTCCTTTCTTCCGCACACAAACTAGCTGAACCCAGAATGTGGAAAGAAGAATTCAAGCAGAGTCAGGAGACCAGCATTCTCGTCGTCAGATTCCGAAAATCCTTGATTCTTCAGGAGCCACAAACGCGCAGTGGTAGATGGTCCACGATTACCACATCTGCGACGTATTCCCACGATGCGGCGCGGAAATAATACTTTTCTTCCGCGACGCTCTTGTTAACCGTGGCGCCATGCTCACGCCCTGGGAAGTGGGCTGAGGCAGCCTTGCGTCGCGAATCGCGATCGTGAGGCGCCATGCCCTGGCGCGATCGTGGGCTGAGGCAGCCTTGCCGATCGCGAATCGTCCTGGCGTCGAGATTCGCGACTATAAAGTCTTCCGATAGAGCGCAGCATAAGCATGCTTCATTCGTCTAGAAATCGACCACCCTACGCTTACCTGGCCTAAGCTTCATCACTTGAGGGATTCCCTCGTCTAAGTCCATCATCTGACCGTTCATTGCTGCCAGGAGCACCATTCGTATCGATCGCCGTGTTGTGGCCTCCTTAAATCATATTTCTGATAGGGATATCACCGTTCTTTCGCGTTGTTCCCTTAGGGGCCTTCCTCGACGCCGTCATGTCTCGAGCGTTTCTCCTCCTCCTCGCGCTATCCGCGTTATTAGCAGCAGCCGCCGGCGCCACTGCTGCGACTAAGCCCTCCCGCTCAGGCGGGATCGCTCTGCGCGGCGGCGACGGGAGCGTGACCGGCGGGACGGCAACAGCTGCCGGGCGCGGCGGCAGCGGCGATTCCCACGTCGTTTCGCACGGCGATTCGCACGGCGATTCCCGGCACGGCGGGATTCCCGGCGGCGGGAGTGACGAGGAGAGGGAGGACGACGACAGAGGCCACGGCGGGCATGGCGGCCGGGAGCATGACAAGGACGAGGACGACTCGGCTGCTGAGGGCGACGGTGACAATGAGGATGGTAGCGACGAAGATAACGAGCATGACGGTGGCAGCAGCAGCCATGGCGGCGGGCTGTGCGGGCGGGGCGGGTGCAGCAACGATTCAGGCGAGGTGGGGTACTGGAAGCTGCCCGATTATGGCCGCTGCTCCATCGGCACCGCCAGCACCAGCAGCGGTGGTGCGCCGAGGAAGGCGGACGAGGCGTGGTGTGCGGGTGCGGCGGTGGGCGTTAAAGAGTGCTGCAGCCGATGCAGCAGCGTCAACGCCACGGTCGATGGCACTCCGTTCAACTGCCGCCACTGGGTGCACATCCCGTGAGTGCCTCCCCCATTCCAACCGCCACCTTGCCTCGCTTGCTGCACATTTTCTGAACCGGGTTGCATTTCCTGAACCGCTGTATACTGGTCTTCCCCTCCCTCCATCCTCATCTCTCTCATGCTCTCTGGTTCCCCTTCACTTCCCCCAGATCTCCCAGCTCTCACGACCGTGGCAGCAGCGAACAGCGCGGCAAGTGCGTCCTCCTGCCGGCCGTCGACGCGCTCACGCCCGAGAGGGCCCGCAAGGGGCGGTGCGGCACCAACACGGGCGGCGACACGGTGCGCGTGGGGCGGCGGTGTGCGTACGGCGAGAACGACCCGCACTTCCTGGGCGCGCACGGCACGCGGTTTGACTTCAACGGGCTGCCAAGGCGCTCCTTCTGCCTCTACACCGACCGCCACGTGCACGTCAACATGGCCATGCGCGGCTATCTCGACAAGCGCCCTCTTGCGCTTGCCCCCACTGCTGGTAACCGTAGCACGCTGGCTGCAGCTCGTTTTGTCAACGGCTCGGCTGTTCGCACGTGGATCCGACAGCTCGCGATCATGTGGCACGACGGCGACAGCAGCAACAGCAACAGCAGCATCAGCAGTGGCAGCGGAAGCGGCGCTAGTGCAAGCGATGCTGCGTCGTCTCACTCTCTCGTGCTCACGGCACGGGATGGCAAGGAGCAGACCCGCGGCGCACAAGGCTTCCTTGCATCCGCCACTCTTGACGACAAGCCTCTCCCACGCCTGACCCTTGGCAGCAGCCACGTGCTCTCCAATGGGCGGCTGATTCTGTCCTTTGTTGGCCAAGAGAAGACCGGCCCGTTCGACGTGGACGTGTACACCCTCCGCCTGAAAAATCTCCTGGAGCTCGAGCTGAAGCTGCGCGCGGGCGCACCCTCTGTTGCAAACACCTGAGGACGCGCAGGTGCACATCAACCTGATGTTTGTGGACTCGAATCCGAGCAGCCAGGTGCACGGGGTGATGGGGCAGACGTACCGCAGCGGCAGGGAGCAGAGGACGATGGAATATTCGAGGCTTGCGGCTCTGCTGCACCACCCTGTGTCGGTGGATGGGGAGGAGGGGAAGGGGTTTCTGGATGGGGAGGTGGGGGATTATGAGACGTCGGGTGTGACTGCTACTGACTGCAGGTTCAATGCTTTCAATGGCGGCCAGCTACCTTTGCAGGCTGAGTAATGGAAAGAAAAAGCATGAAAGGGGAGAATACGGTACTCATGCTCTTTCTATGACTTCGCGCAAGAGATATTCTTTCCTCACCCTCCTAGCCTTTTAGCAACGTACAGAGTTTGAGTTTTCTCGTAGCCTGCAGTTAAATTAATGGTTGCTTAAATTCTGGCAATGGTGTACATTAGGCGTACTAATGATTGAGGCAAGACAAAAACAAGCTTTTAGTCGATATGGTCCCTGTACAGCCGGCCCCATTCTCACGCCTGCCCTCTGCGAGACTTCCCTCGCAAACATGCCGTGCAGTCTCGTACTGATTCTGCAGCACATGAAAATATTCAACCACACATTAAACGTAAACCCTCCATTAATAGTTTTTTTTTTCCTGATTAAATTTCGCTCAGCATTCAATGAAGATGAGCTGGTTCTGGAATGGGTATGCACCATGAGGTGCAGCATGCTATATGGAGGATAATTGAAACGAGTTCTCTGTATCGCGCCTCCAACTGTGTGTTGCCAAAATTCCACGGAACTTCTCTCTGGGACCTCCAAGCCGGTGCTTCCGTCAAAGCGATTCTTCTGTTCCGAAAAGCCACGTCATTCTTGACGCCATTTGTTCAGACAGGCAGCGCTCCGTCAAGGGGGAACAAAAGTTGGTTTCACCGTCAGGAACGGCAATTCCTAGGCAATCCAACCACTCGTTTCGTTTGACTAGGTTGGGAAGGTTTTGGTATGGTTTGGTGTGGTATGGTATTTTCTTGTAGCTCATACTGCGGTGCTGTGGCCATCCCCCTAGGGCATCCTTCTCGTCTCGTCCCATACATACAGATGCTCTGGGTGGGAAAAAGGTCCCACCACCACACAAACAGTTTCAATATTATTGGTTGAGAAAGTGGCATCAGCAACACCAATCATGCAGGGGTAGTCATCATGGCTTTCCAGTGAGCTGTGCCAGACTTGTACGGACATTAGCGAATTAATTATTAAGGCTGCTGCATTCTTTCCGCTTTACGGTTATTGCTAGTTAATTTATACCTGATGAGTTTAGGCTATATTTGACAGCCACACCGATGCACGACACGCGTTGAGCCATGAGTGGTCCATATAGAGGTTCGCGATGGGCCTCACAAGACGGTAGGCCGCTAGCCAACGGTCGTTTAGGCGCAGAGCTGTCGCCGCCTCGCGGGCTGCACGCGCGGCTTCCGTCGTACGAGGATCAGCAGGGCCATGCGGAGCAGGCTCAGACGCACCAGGCTCAGTCGCAACAGCTGGTATACTGGGAGCAACAACAGCAGCAACAGCAGCAGCGGCAGCAGCAGCAGGGTCAGCAGCAATGGCAGGAGCCGCCGTTGCGAATACCGCCAGCGCCGGTGCCGTACGGCCAGCGGCAGCACCACCAGCAGCAGCCGCCGCCTCGGTCGGGCCTGAGCACTCGACCGCGTGCGACAGCCAGTGCGTCGTACGAGCAGCGGCCGTCGTACGAGCAGCGGCCGTCGTACGATCACCGACCGCCGTACGATCACCGTGCGTCGTTCGATCAACGGCAGTCGTACGAACGAAGGCCGTTATCCGCATCTCCCGGTATCGCCGCGGTTCGCTCGTACAGCACGGACGCTCCCCCGGATTTCTCCAATCCGCGACCGCTTTCGGCAGCAGCGGGCGTGCCACGTGGCCGCAGTGTGAGCGACGACGATAGGTACACCGGAGACGATGCGACGTCAGGTCGACCAATAGTTGACCGACCCGCGGAGGGTCGACAGACTGGTCCTTCGTCCGGTTATCCCGCAAACCCTTATCAGGCATCTCATCAGGCTCCTTATCAGGGTCCTTATCAGGTGCCTTATCAGGTGCCTTATCAGGTCCCTTATCAGCCGCCGCAGCCGCCGTACCATCACCCGCAGCTTAGTCCTCACGGCGGCGATATCGCGCTGAAAAAGCCTCTCAGTCCGCGACAGGTCAGGAGCCCTAGAGCCCTTAGCCCGCTCGCAGCTGCCGCGTTCGGCATGCGCGGGGGTTACGGCGCGCCGGGGAGGGGGAACGAGGAGTGCGTGTACGGGGAAGACGAGGAGGGGGAGGAGGAGGAAGGCCGGGAACGGAGCTTGCGCGCGGGGATACTGAGAGGCGCGGCGGCGCTGAGAGAGCGGCAAGCGGGCTCGTCGGACGACGGCGCAAGCACCTCCCCCACGTCGATAGGCTCCCCCGGGGTTCTGCCCGCGGGTGGCGGAGGATTAGGGGCCGTTGGCGGGGGATCTGAGCCGTCGAATCGTCCGAGCACGGCGAGCAGCACCAGCAGCACCATGAGCGGCGGCGGCGGGGGGTTCGGCGGAGGGTTTGGCGGAGCGGGGAGTAGCAGCAGCAGCAGCAGCACGGGGGTGACGGTCATCCGCGGAGTTATGGCGGGCGGGTCTGTGGGTAGAAGCGGGGGAACAACCCTAGCGGGGAAGCAGGTGGTGATTCGGATTCGACCCAGAGGCGGCTCCATAGACGCGTCGCACGGAGTGGGTTCCACCAGCAGCGGCGGCGGCGGAGGCGGCGGAGGCGACGGCGGCGGCGGCGCGGACGTAGGCAGTGGCGCGGCGGCAGCGGGTTTCACGGCGACGGTGACGGCTGTGCTTCCGGCAGGCGCGGGGTCCCCCCGTTCCCCGTCCAGCGCGCGCAGACGGGAGGCGGGGGGGGCAAGCACGCCTGGCGCGGGCGGAGGGAGGCTAGAGGGGGTAGGTAGGCACACATTCGCAGCAGGTAGCACAGGCGGGGACGCTGCTGCGGAAGGCGGGTATTCCCGTGAGGCCAACCTCACTCTCCCTGGCAAGCGAACCGACGCCTCTTCCGAGCCTAGGTTCAAAGGTGTGACGCGGCTAGGCTCGGTGGCGGCTGCCGAAGCAGCAGCCGCGGCAATCGCGGTGGCAGACGCGGCGGCTGTAGCGCAGGCGGGGAAGGCGGGGTGGGAGCCGCCTCTCAGCCCCACAGGGGTGCCTGTCATCCCCCCGGAGGGCCGTCTGAGCAGCGAGGGAGACGTTTTCCTTGAGTATCTGCGGAAGGCGGGCGAGGGGAGGGCAGCTGCGCAGTATGATGTTGCCGTGTGCTACGGCGGGGGCTTTGGCGTGAAGCAGGATAAGTCCCTCGCCGCGTACTGGTTCAGAAAGGCGGCGGAACAGGGGTTGGCGCGCGCACAGTACGCCCTAGCAGAGTGCTACGAGACAGGCGCGGGCGTGGAGAGAGACGAAGAGGAGGCGTTTCGGTGGTTCTTCCGGGCGGCAAGCTTCGGCAGCGGGAAGTACCTGGTGAAACTGGGGCTGTGCTTTGAGCGGGGGTTTGGAGTGACGGAGTGTCCCGTAGCAGCGCTGTACTGGTACCACAAGGCGGCGGAGCAGGGGCCCAAGTTTGCCGCGCAGGTGGAGAAGCGCATGGAGGTGCTGCAGCGGCAGCGGGAGGAGGAGATCATGAGCGCGCGCGCGGGGAGGGCGTGCCGGTGGAGTGTATTTGTCCGTTGACGGGGAGGGTGATGGAGGATCCTGTGGAGCTGCCTGAGACGGCCGTGTGCTGTGAGCGCGCCCAGGTGAAGACGTTCTGGGACCACTGCGAACTGCGTTGCCCCGTTACCAACCAGGTGGGTTGTTAACCAGGTGGGTTGTTAACCAGGTTACCAACCAGGTGGGTTGTTAACCAGGTTACCAACCAGGTGGGTGGGTGGGCTACCAACCAGGTGGGTGGGTGGGCTACCGACCAGGTGGGTGGGTGGGTTACCAACCAGGTGAGTGGGTTGCCAGCCAGCTCCGGTTTTGTTACAGTCTTGGCTCGTCATGAGAACGTTCTTAACCCTGGCAGTTCTACTTGTTTGAATTAGAGGTCTTTTATTCATTTTTGTTTCGTCGTTCTCGATTTCGCTTTCGCCTTCCCCTATCACGATCTAATATCACCTACTACACTTCTCTTCTGTCACACCCTCTGGTTTTCTCCGCTCTTCACCCGCTCCTTCCAAGCTTACTGCTCTCCTGTTCAGACCCTTCACCCTTGTCTCTTCACCCTTCCCACCTTCCTTCCTCCCAACCGCGTACTCTCCCGTCCAGCCTCTCAAGGTGAAGGACATGAAGACAAATCTAGCCATCCGTCGCCGAGTCACTGAGTGGAAGGTAGGCACCCTACATATCCAGTCCAGAACCTTATTTTCTCACTTTTCAATAGCTCCTCCTTTCCTCAAACGGTCCCTTCCTCTCCCCCGCTCCATGTTATGTTACCACCACCCCCGGCCATGTCACCCCCAACCTGCGTTTCCATTCGTCCACCCCCTCTGTCCCACCCCATCCCTCAATCTCCTGGCCTCCCTCCATATCCTCCCCTCCCCTTCCCCCCCTCCCCCTTCCCCCCACACTCCCCACCATCCTTTTTCTCCATAACCCCTTGCTTGTCAAACCCTGCGCACGAAAATAGCTTCTCTCTCTCCCTCCCCATCCCCAAATGTTCCCTCTTCCCCTACCCCACTTCCCCACCAACCCCATCCCACACCGTTCCTCCCTCTCCTTGACCCCTGAATCCCCATACCCCGGTGAAAACTCCAGCGCAAGCGGCAGGCGGAGCAGGAGGCACTGTTTCCGAGGCGCCTAGAAATAGACCCCCTTTCCCCTTCTCCCTCTCTTCCTTCCTCCTCCCCCCTCCCCCCCCCCCCCTCTCCTTGACCCCTGATTCCCGAAACCCCGGTGAAACTTCCAGCGTAATCGGCAGGCGGAGCAGGAGGCGCTACAGGGGCCACTGGGGCCTCCAATACAAGCCGCTCTCTTTCTCCCCCTCCCTCCCTCCCTCTCCCCTCCCCTCCCCTCCCCTCCCCTCCCCTCCCCTCCCCTCCCCTCCCCTCCCCTCCCCTCTCTCTCCCCCCCTCCAGCGCAAGCGGCAGGGGGAGCAGGAGGCACTACAGGGGCCAACGGGGCCTCGGGCGTCCACCTGTCAGGCAGTGGTCAGCGATGAGTGGGGGGGCGGAAGGGGAAGATGAGAGGGAGCACGGCAGGGCTTATGGGCCGCACGAGGAGGAGGACGAGGACGAGGAGGAAGGGGAGGAGGGTGTGGGTGGGATGGCGGTGGGCAGGGTTGGGCTGGGGAGTGTGGGAGGGAAGGGGAGGGGAAGAGGAGGAGAGAAGGAGGGAGAGAGGACGAAGAGTCGGTTTTCTAGGGATTTATCGGAGGACGGGGAGAGGAGTGGGGCGAGTGAGAGTGAGGGGGAGGAAGAGGAGGAGGTTGGTGGGAGGTCGAGAGGAGCAGGTGGAAGGGATGCAGGGGATGGGGTTGGAGAGAGGAGGAGGAGGGGGGGAGGAGAGGAGGGACAGGCACAGTGATAGTGACACTGGTTCGTCGTATGTTAGTGATGAGGATTATGATGATGATTATGATGATGGGGAGGAGCGGAGGAGTTACAGGCACAAGAAGAAAACGTATGATGATGATGACAAGTATGATGACGAGGATAAGGATTATACTTCTAGTGAGTACGACAGCAGCGAGGATAGATCGTCAGACAGCGAGGGGTACAGGGAGGGGGGAGGCAGGGAGAGGAGCAGGAAGGGGGCAGACCGTAGGAGTAGTAGCCCTAGGAAGGGGTCAGGGAGGGGGCGGGGTAGCAGCAGCAGGGGGAGAAAGGATGAAGGTGGGTCTGAATACAGTGACAGTGACTATAGCCGTAGTGACTCTGACGAGGGGGAAGGCGACGAGGCGGGCAAACATGGCAGGGGCAGGTCCGGCCGAGTGGCGGACAGGAGCAGCCGAGACACGAGCTTTAAGTCAAGAGAGGGAGACAGTGAGGAGGGCGAGGAGGGAGAGGAGGGAGAGGAGGTGGCAGTGGGCCGAGCGTTGGCGCATGATTCATCCCGCGACCTGTCTCACAGCTACAGCCGTGGCTCCTCCTCCCGCGCGTACAGTGAGAGCGTGCCATCTGAGCCGTCCATGCGGCGAGATGCGTCCCTGGATGAGCCGGGGAGAGTCAAGGTGTCCATGCCCCGCGGTGGGTCCGTTGGTGGGTCTGTGAGAGGGGAGGGTGTTGTGAGGAACGAAGGGTACTTGTCTGGTGAGGAGGACGGAGACGGGGGCGAGGGGCTTGGTGTGAGAAAAGGCGAGGAGGAAGAGGGTGATGAGAGGGAATGGAAGGGTGAGGAGCTGAAGGGAAGTGTGGGCGGAGTGGGAGTGGGTGAGGTTGAGGGGCTGGGGATTGGTGGGGTTCAGACGGGGGAGTCAGGAGAAGGGTTGGAAGCGGAGGGGTGGGAGGAGGAGGAGGAGGGGGAGGGGGAGAAGAGGGATCCGACGGAGCTGTTGCTGGAGGAGCTGGCTCAGGCCGAGCTGGACTATGGCTTCCCCGGGGCCAATGTGAGTGCGCTTATCACTAAATGCTCTTATCACTAAGTGCTCTTATCACTAAATGCTCTTATCACTAAGTGCTCTTATCACTGGTGCTCTTATCACTAACTGCTCTTATCACTAAGTGCTCTTATCAGTGGTGCTCCTATCACTAACTGCTCTTATCACTGGTGCTCTTATCGCTGAGTGCTCTTATCACTGAGTGCTCTTATCATTGGTGCTCCTATCACTAACTGCTCTTATCACTGAGTGCTCTTATCACTGGTGCTCTTATCACTGAGTGCTCTTATCACTGAGTGCTCTTATCTCTGCATCTCAATCTCCAGGCACGCTGCTCTGCCTGTCCCTCTATCTCTCCTCCCCCAATCCCACCCTCTGGACGCGAGTCTCACCAGCACCGATCACAGCACAGCACACCAGCATCCTTCATGGCACGCCTGCCTGCCTGCCTGCCTGCCTGCTGCCGTATCGCTTCCGTCCACCCTATGCTGCAGGTGGTCCGCGCGCTGCCGTGCGCCGTGACTGGAAGACTTTTGAGTCGACTCAAAATGGCTTTTGAGTCGACTTGACCTTTGAGTCGACTCAAAATGGCTTTTGAGTCGACTTGACCTTTGAGTCGACTCAAAATGGCTTTTGAGTCGACTTGACCTTTGAGTCGACTCAAAATGGCTTTTGAGTCGACTTGACCTTTGAGTCGACTCAAAATGGCTTTTGAGTCGACTTGACCTTTGAGTCGACTCAAAATGGCTTTTGAGTCGACTTGACCTTTGTGTCGACTCAAAATGGCTTTTGAGTCGACTTGACCTTTGAGTCGACTCAAAATGGCTTTTGAGTCGACTTGACCTTTGAGTCGACTTGACCTTTGAGTCGACTCAAAAGTCACCCTATGCAGGTGGTCCGCGCGCTGGCGTGTGCTGTGACTGTAACAGCTCTGTGCTCACATTCTCACTGCACATCCCTCTGCGTGCCACGTGAAAAAAGAAGAGTTTTTGAGACGTCTCAAAACATCCCTCTGCGTGCCCTGCCCCTCCACCTCTCTCCCTTCTCCCCCCTCCTCTCCCCACACCCAAACCCGTGCAGGTGAGTCCGAGCACGGTGAGTCGGTGGAACAGCACGCGCGAGGACAGCCTGCAGGCCGTCAAGAGTGTTGTGGCCGAGGTGAGTGAGGGGAGGGGAGGGGGGGGAGAGGAGGGGAGAGGAGGGGAGAGGAGGGGAGAGGAGGGGAGAGGAGGGGAGAGGAGGGGAGAGGAGGGGAGAGGAGGGGAGAGGAGGGGAGTGGAGGGAGAGGAGGGGAGAGGAGGGGAGAGGAGGGGAGTGGGGAGGGCTGGGAGGGTAGTTATGGGAAGAGGGGAAGAGGAGGGGGGGCAGCTTTGTTGAGGGTGATGCTTGCAAACGCCCCATCCCCCCCACTCGTCCCCCTTTTGAGTCGACACAAAAGGGTGATCCTTGCAAACGCCCCGTCCCCCCCACTCTTCCCCCTTCGCCCCCTGGCAGGCGGAGCCAGTGATCGACTGTGGGCCGCGGTGGGCCCTCCTCGCACGGTACCTCGAGGTGCTGGAGAAGCTGCTGCTCGTCTTTGAGGTGCCTGAGTCTTCTTCAGAAGTCTACTTCCCCCTTGTCCCCCCTTGTCCCCCCTTTCCATCCCCCCCCTGGCAGGCGGAGCCAGTGATCGACTGTGGGCCGCGGTGGGCGCTGGCACGGTACCTCGAGGTGCTCGAGAAGCTGCTGCTCGTGCAGCGGGAAGCTGCGCAGAACCTTCTGGGGTCGTGCGCGGGCGGCACAGGCGGCTCGGGCAGGGGAGCGGGCGAGGGCGAGGGCGAGGGGGAGGTGTGGGAGGCGGTGGAGGCGTTGGAGGGGCTGTGTGCGCGGGGGGTGCAGCAGCTGCTGGACGACTTCAGGGCCGCGCTGCTCGCCTGCAGGTACGGTGTGTGGCATTGGAGCGAGGTGGGTGGGTGGTTTGTGAGTTGACTCACAAGTCACCTGAAGGAGGGCGAGGGGGAGGGGTGGGAGGCGGTGGAGGCGTTGGAGGGGCTGTGTGCGCGGGCGTGCAGCAGCTGCTGGACGACTTCAGGGCCGCCCTGCTCGCCTGCAGGTACCACTGCCTCCTGTCTCTGTGTCGCTTCCTGTGTGTGTGCCTGCCTGTGTCCATCCATGTGCCTGCCTGCGCGTGTGCATGCTTCTGAGTCTGCTCAGCAGCGGCGGCTGTGTGTGTGTGTGCGGGGGGTGCAGCAGCTGCTCTGCTCGATGGCTTCACGGCCGCTCTCCTCTCCTCGCCTGTAGGTACCGTTGCCTCTGCTCACCTCGTTCTCCCACATGCCTCCACTCACCTCCCAGAATTCTCAAAAGTACTCACAACGTTCCCCCCTTCCCCCCCGTACCCACTACAGCCAACCCCTGGATACAGCAGAGCTGCACGAGGCGGCAGCGGCGGCAGCAGCCCACTCCTCCCGCTCCTCCTCCTCCGCCCACCAGGTCCCCGCGCACGCGCCCCCCGCCTCCTCTCCCTCCACCTCCGCCTCCCCCGCCCCTGCCGTCACCACCCTCTCCTCCAAGTCCGGCCCGCTTCCCACCTCCACTGCGAAGACCAAGGGGCACGCGCACAAGGGGGGTGGGGGGTCTGCGAGGGAAGGTGGGGAGGATGGGGGGAGGCACTCCGCCCCCCTTCCCTCGCCTGCCCATGCTGATCGGCATGGTTCTTCTGGTGCTGCTGGTGCTGGTGCTGGTGGTGCTGCTGGTGGTGGTGCTGCTGGTGGGGGTGATGGGACGGGGTCGTTGGCTGGTGATTCGGTTTCTTGCGACTGGCAGTGGGACAGGGAACAGTTTTCACAGGAGTGGGAGTGGGGGCGGCGGGGGGAGTGGGAGGGGGAAAGGGGAGGGAGAGGGAGGGGAGGCTGATGAGGAGGCCCACTAAATGGGTGGGGGCGGACAAGGCAGCGGTGGGGCTGCGGCAGGTGGTGCAGGTGCTGGCTAGAGCAGGCCACTTCGACCGCTGCTTTGACATTTACAGGTGGGTGGGGCTGTTGGGGCTGCTGGTGGTGTGTTAGAAATCCTGGTGTGTGGGGTTTAGTACTGCTGTGTGAGGCAGCGGCAAACAAGGCAGCGGTGGGGCTGCGGCAGGTGGTGCAGGTGCTGGCTAGAGCAGGCCACTTTGACCGCTGCTTTGATATCTACAGGTGGGTGGGGTTGCTGCTGGTGTGCTGGTAGTGTCAGTGTGTGGGGATTGCTGTGTGTGGGGCGGCTGGTGTGTGGGATGGCTGAAGTGTGGGGTTGCTATTTCAGGTGTGTGTGAAGTTCATTTGGGCGGTATCGCTCTACTCGGCTCGGACATATGTGTGCTGTGCTCTGGGAATCATCATGTGGCGAGTGACTGGTTGTGCGCGCAATTAGAGAGGACGGAGATGGAAGCCACGTGGCACAATGTGATGCTAATGCTATGCCATGTGACGCAGAGATGGCTTAAGCTACTCACCCTCTATCAATCACCTACCCTCCTCCCCCCTGCCTACCCCCTTCCTTCTCGCCTCACACTCTACCTCCCGCCCAATTTCCCCTCCACAATATATCTCCCGCTAATTCTCCCTCACACTCTGTCTCCCGCCTACTACCCCCTCACCCTTCCATCTCTCGCCTGAATTCCCCTCCGCCTCTATCTCGCTCTTCTCTCTTCCTCTTCAACACCCTATCAGGTCGGTGCGGGAGGACTGTGTGCGGGAGACGATAAAGGCGTTGGAGGTGGAGCCTATAAGGGGTACGGCGCATGTGAACCAGCTGCCGTGGCAGCAGCTGCAGCACACCATGACCGACTGGCTCAGGGACTGTCGCCTGCTGGTGAGTGGTGCTGGTGTTGGGTGCTGTGCTTGTGGGGAAGGCTGTGTGCGGGCTGTTTGAGCACACCATGACGGACTGGCTGTGTGCGGGCTGTTTGAGCACACCATGACGGACTGGCTGTGTGCGGGCTGTTTGAGCACACCATGACGGACTGGCTGTGTGCGGGCTGTTTGAGCACACCATGACGGACTGGCTGTGTGCGGGCTGTTTGAGCACACCATGACGGACTGGCTGTGTGCGGGCTGTTTGAGCACACCATGACGGACTGGCTGTGTGCGGGCTGTTTGAGCACACCATGACGGACTGGCTGTGTGCGGGCTGTTTGAGCACACCATGACGGACTGGCTGTGTGCGGGCTGGTTTGAGCCACACCATCACGGACTGGCTGTGTGCGGGCTGTTTGAGCACACATGACGGACTGGCTGTGTGGGGGCTGTTTGAGCACACCATGACGGACTGGCTGTGTGCGGGCTGTTTGAGCACACCATGATGGACTGGCTGTGTGCGGGCTGTTGAGCACACCATGACGGACTGGCTGTGTGCGGGCTGTTGAGCACACCATGACGGACTGGCTGTGTGGCGGGCTGTTTGAACACACCATGACGGACTGGCTGTGTGCGGGGCTGTTTGAGCACACCATGACGGACTGGCTTGTGCGGGCTGTTTGAGCACACCATGACGGGACTGGCTGTGTGCGGGCTGTTTGAGCACCCATGACGGACTGGCTGTGTGCGGGCTGTTTGAGCACACCATGACGGACTGGCTGTGTGCGGGCTGTTTGAGCACACCATGACGGACTGGCTGTGTGCGGGCTGTTGAGCACACCATGACGGACTGGCTGTGTGCGGGCTGTTTGAGCACACCATGACGGACTGGCTGTGTGCGGGCTGTTTGAGCACACCATGACGGACTGGCTGTGTGCGGGCTGTTTGAGCACACCATGAACGGACTGGCTGTGTGCGGGCTGTTTGAGCACACCATGACGGACTGGCTGTGTGCGGGCTGTTTGAGCAACACAATGACGGACTGGCTGTGTGCGGGCTGTTTGAGCACACCATGACGGACTGGCTGTGTGCGGGCTGTTTGAGCACACCATGACGGACTGGCCTGTGTGCGGGCTGTTTGAGCACACCATGACGGACCGGCTGTGTGCGGGCTGTTTTGAGCACACCATGACGGACTGGCTGTGTGCGGGCTGTTTGAGCACACCATGACGGACTGGCTGTGTGCGGGCTGTTTTGAGCACACCATGACGTGACTGGCTGTGTGCGGGCTGTTTGAGCACACCATGACGGACTGGCTGTGTGCGGGCTGTTTGAGCACACCATGACGGACTGGCTGTGTGCGGGCTGTTTG